TGCTGCTGCTGCTGCTGCTGCTGCTGTCTGCTCTTCTTGCTCGGAAATTCTAACTGTGTTACTTGCTGCTGTAACAAAAGACACACAGCTGCAACAGGCTGCAAACCCTAAACCCTAAACCCTAATCTGTACACCCTCGGAGCCAGCCCGAATGCTTAGCAAAAGCAAATAAAACCGGTACTTGCAGCCAGGGATATATGGCCGAGGGTTTAGGGTTTAGGGTTTAGGATTTAGGGTTTAGTGTTTAGGGTTTACGGTTTAACAGGGGCCCCCTGCTGGATGCCGGCTAGGGGGCCCCCTTCTCTTCGCTGGCAGCCCTGGGGGCTGTTACTTGACTCTTAGGGTTTAGGGTTTAGGGTTTAGGGTTTAGGGTTTGCGATCTAAAACCAGGGCATATGTCTTAGGGTATAGGGTTTAGGGTTTAGGGTTTAAGGTTTAGGGTTTAGGGTTTGGGGCGATGAAAGACGTGGACATTTCTGGCCCCTCGTGTCTCACGGGGGGTTTGGCTGCTGCTGCTCCCTGCAGCAGCATTCCCAGCTGCTCAGCCGCAGCAGCAGCAGCAACAGTGGCAGCAACAGCAGCAGCAACAGCAGCAGCAGCAGCAGCAGAAGCAAAAGCAAAACGAATTCGGAAAAAAGATCTTCCCCCAGGCAGCGAAACAGAAACCTTTATTCAAGAGGTGTCTTTAATTTATCTTTTATTTTATTTTAATTTTTTTATTTCTTTTATTTATTTCTTTTATTTATTTCTTTTTATTTGTTTCTTTTTATTTCTTTTTTTATTTATTTCTTTCCTTTATTTATCTTTTATATTTTTTTGTGTCTACTGAGCTCGCAAATGGCCTCTTGCTGCTGCACTTAGTGCCTGCTGCTGCCGCTGCTGCTGCTGCTGCTGCTGCTGCTGCTAGTACTGCTGCTGTTGTTGCTGCTACGCTGGCCGTCGCTATTCCAGTTGCTGCCGCTGCTGCTCCTCTGGCTGCTGCTGCTTCTGCTGCTGTTTATCTTGTTGCTGCTTTCCTCCTCGTTGCCCCAACCGCCCCTCTTGCTGCTTCTGCTGCTGCTGCTGCTGCTGCTGCTGCAGCTGAAGTACGGGCGTTTGGGGTGGCGCTCTGTGGAGCTGCGGCCGTCGGAAGCAGCACTGGGAGCAGCAGCAGCAGCAGCAGGAGCCTTCAGAAGCACGGGGCAGCCGCTGCTGCTGCAACTGCAGCGGCCGCCTTCTCCGCTTCGTTTCTGCACTCCTTTGAGAAGTCCTGACTGGGAGTTCACTTTTGCTGCTGCTGCTGCACCAGCAGACACGCAGCAGCTCAGCCACGTGGCTGCCAGGGCCCACAAAAAGCACAAATACCAAACCCAGCAGCAGCAGCAGCAGCAGCAGCAGCAGCAGCAGGGTGAGAGCTGCCAAGATGATATCCAGGGAGGGCTCCCATTAACTTACTTAAGAAAGATTAGATGGTATGCTGCTGCAGCTGCTCTTGCTGCTGCTGTATCTTCTGCCGCTGCTGTTGCAGCTAGTGCTGCCGCTGTTGCCGCTGCTGCTGCTGCAGCTGCTGAAATCCCTGCTGCTCTTGCTGCTTTCGCCGTTGCACAAGCAGCAAGGCTACGTCTGATGCTGCGGCAACAGCAGCAGCAGACTCTGCTGCTGCTGCTGCTGCTGCTGCTCCGCCACCGTTGCCAGCTACCGCCGCTCCCTTCACCCCCCACCTCCCCCTGCTGCTGCTGCTGCTGCTGCTGCTGCTGCAGGATGGCGCGGAGCGCATGCATGCCGGCGCACGGGCTGCGGTCTCTGAACTTCCGGCAGCAAGACTGGCAGCTGCTTGCTGCTGCTGCTGCTCGTGAGGGGGACGGAGAAGCAGCAGCAGCAAGAAGCTACTGCTTGGGCCTTTTGTATGAAAAGAAGCAGCAGCTAGCAGCAGCACTGCAGCAGCACCAACGCTTCCTAGAAGCAGCACAGGCCCTGCAGGACACACGCATGGAGGCCCTCGCCCACAACGCGTAAACCCTAAACCCTAAACCCTAAACCCTACACGCTAAACCCTAAACCCTAAACCCTAAGCCCTAAATTCTAAACCCTAAACCCTAGACCCTAAACTCTAAACCCTAAACCTTAAAACACTTATTCGGTTCCTTGCACCAGGGCCTGCTGCTGAGCAAACTGTGTGAGGGCTGCTGCTAAGGGGATGGGCTGCTGCTGCTGCTGCTGCGTATACTTTTGCTGCTGCTGCTTCTAATGTGCTTGTTGCTGATGCATGTTTTGCTGCTGCTGCTGCTGGAGCTGCTAGATCTGCGGCTATTTGGCTGCGCTGCTTGTTCCCGCTGGCAGCAGCAAACTTCTGTAGCAAGACCAAATGTTGCAGCAGCTGCTGCAGCGGCTGCTGCTGCTGCTGCTACTGCTGCTGCTGCTGCTGTGCTCAGCAAGGGAGTTGTGCTTGCTGCACTAGGCAAGCTTGAGGAAGCCCTGCAGGAACATTTGCTGCAGCTGCAGCTGTCTGATGAGGCAGGTATGCAGACCTACGCAATAGCTTTGCTGCTGCTGCTGCTGCTGCTGCTGCTGCTTCTCGTAATCTTGATGCTCCGGAGCACTCGCACTCGCCGTTTTCTCGCTGCTGCTGGACGGCCTGCTACTGCTCCTTTGCTGCAGTCGCTCCACTGCTGCTGCTGCTGCTGCTTCTGTTGCTGCGTTTGTTTTGCCGTACGTTTAGGCCAACTTATAGCCCACATGAATCTGGGCATTTTGCTGCACCGGATGGGTAAAGCGCTGCCCCAGCCGCTCCTGCTGCTGCTGCTGCTGCTGCTACTGCTGCTGCTGCTGCTGCTGCTGGTACGGCTGCTGCGGCTACTACTGCTACTGCCGGCTTGCATGTTGCTGCTGCTGCTGCTGCTGCTGCAGGGCGCGACGAAGAGGCGCGAGTGCACTTGTCAGCAGCAGCAGATCTCGGGGTGGCTTTGAACGACCCTTTGGGCCATTCCCTTGCGCTGGGCAATTTGTCGCTTTGCGGAGAGCCCTCAGGGTAGCAGCAGCAGCAGCAGCAGCAGCAGCAGCAAGTGTAGGGGAGGCAGCAGCAGCGAAGGCAGCCAGTGCAGAGGCAGAGAGCAGAAGCAGCAGCAGCAGCATCGCACATGCATGAGACAGTAGCAGCAACAAAATCAGATGCAGAAAGCAGAAGCAACAGCAGCAGCAGCAGCAGCAGCATCGCACTTCTTGGCGCAAATACTGATGCCTCTACGAGCGTCACTGCCTTTGCTGCTGCTGCTGCTGCGGCTGCTGCTGCTGCTCCCTCCCCTTCCCGACGGCCCTCTCCCCGCTGCCCCTGTCGCTGACCCTGCTGCTGCTGCTGCTGCTGCTGCAGGGACGTGGAGAAGGCGAAGCTGCTGCTGGAGCAGCACTTGCTGCGGGTAAATGAGGAAATCTGCAGACTTGCTGCTCACCGGCTGCCAGCAGCACCACTTTCAGACGCAAGAGCTGTGCTGCAGCAAGACATCAAAGAAAGCAGAAGTCGCAAGCTGCACGTCCACCTGCAGCAGCAGCA